TGTTTTTAATTTCACATCTGAGGCCAATTTTCATTCCATGCTCAGACCTACAGGGGAATTACGCAAATGTGGATACCGAGACCCTTAAGCAGACATACTTGTCATCTAGTACGCTTAGCAAAACATAACCTTGGTATGAAATGCACGTAGAGAGCCATCTCGAGTTACTTTCTCCCACCAGTTCTCAGATTAAATTTCTCTCAGGTTTTAAAAGTGAATGATTGTTTATTTTCATGTGATAACCAAGGTAAAATGAGTGAGCAATACAGCAGTAATCACAACAAATCATAAAAGGGAGATTGGCTCTTTAACTCTCATTTTTTATCTCAAAGGAAGCAGAGGTCTTTTGGTTATGATTCAGTGAGAAGCCATGGGTTTAAAAGGCCTTTTAAACCTCAATGTAAATACATTCAAATTTATATAACTAAAATATATGCAACCTGACATTTATATCTCACAATTGCCTCGTAAAGTTGCAATTATTCATCATAGTCAAAATTATGATTTTCAAAAAGCCCCAATTAGCATGTAAAGTCAATTATTAATGATTATAATTTACAATATAATTGCAATTTAGATACACAGTTGAAGCTATATATCACAATAGCAGTTTTTTTTCCCATAAATGTGACTTGAATTTAAACTTTATCTCAGAATTACCCGTTTAATTTTTTACATAAGACCAAAATTCCAAAATATACCCACTAAGAGTGGAGTCCAATTTCAGATCTAACTTTATTGAATTTATCAGAAATATCTGTCAAAATGTTTACTTGACAGCAGCCAGTAATGCTTAATACACTGCTGATCATGAGTCTAATCGCCATCTGCAAATCTCAACATCAAATTAAAGAGTATGACTCATTCCCTCATGGTCAACTAACTTAAAATACCACGTTAAGCATCTTTTCTTGCCATTAATGGTATTTTTGGAGAGAGACGTGCTCGGAGGGCACACGTTCGCTGCCAATTCTGTATCTCCCCCTTTCATCAGACCCACAGTGGACCCTTGATTCTTTTCCCACCTGTCCTGCACCCTGAATGGGATGTGCATCTTGTATTTTGTTCCCAACGCTACAGGACCTGCACTGTGTTAGTATCCCGCCACAGCCAGGCTCAGGATTTTCCACTGGGCTCTTTTGTGTGCCAGAAAGCCTGACTGTCACTCAGACGGCGGCTGTAACATGAGCAATCGACCAAGCACTGGCACTTGCATGCTGAAGATGGCTGAAATAGCACTTTCCATAAAACACGCAGAGAGAGGGCAGTGAAATCTGACCTCAAGATGGGCTGCCAGTTCTCCCACCCCACTCCAATATCCTTATCATGTCCTACCGCTCACCCATCTACTCAAATTCTGCACCAACAACCTCACAACAAAAAAAGTAAACGCACAGAGAGCAAGAGAAAGAAGGGGAGGGGGGAAGCAAAGGGCCTTTCTGAAATTTAATCGGTCATTAACTGCAGCTGCAGGAACACAGTGAGTAAATATCTGTTTGGTGGTGGGGCAAATCCCACAGAAAATATTAATTACACAATTAAATATTCAAATAAACTCCTTTCAAATCTATTTTCACATGTATGAGCAGTAATGCACAAAAATTTACAGAATTATGACAATAAGTTGCACTAATACAGAACACACACATTATATTATAATGTATTATATGTTATGTACATTAATGTAATTGATATCTACCGCATGTTATATATATATATATATATATATATACACATATATACATACACACACACAAATACATACATGTATACACGTGTGGGGGAGGATATAAAAATAAAAATTGAAAAACACAGATGTAATTTAATTTATAAATTGTAATTTACACATTTATATATATATAGTATTAAAATGAAAGATTTGTTTTCAATAATAAAACATATCTAAAAACATGTATTTTGACAATACATGGCTGTTTTTAGATGTTTATTTTGTTAATAAAACAATTTTTCATTTTATTTCATTTATCAAATTTTTCATTTTAATTATATATACATATATAATTATAATATATATGTACATATCATTTTGCAATGAAAGATTTTATTAAAAACATAACAAAAAATAAAAAATAATATAAGTAATGGTTTGTCCTAACAACTACTGACAGAATTAAATAAAATTTAAGGGATTATTCTTTTATTCTTTTTATGTATTTATTTATTTGTGTACTTTAAACAATTTTGGTCACTTGATATCTAGCGTACAGTCTGGGTCCTGAAGCAAAACCAGCTGAGAGCCACATTGATTTACAACACGTTTGTTTTTTTCTACAATACATGGCTTGTTATCTCCCTCTTGTGGTCACATTGTACTTCACATCCTCATAAACTACAGGAGAAGGGCGTCACGACAGCTCTTGACATGGTCATGACAGCTAATAGCACACACTCTTGACTAGTCTGACAGGAAATGGCACTAACATGTAAACACCATGTTCTTGCATTATACATAATACACAGCTGGATTTAGTGGTCTGTAGTATTTCAACCCCAGCTCATTAAAGAACTCTGGCCAGTATAAGCAGGGCAATTAACAACAGCATGAATCAGAAGAGATATATGCAGACAGGACACATTGAGTTACAAGAGACTCGTAGGGCATGGGAAGACCGGGTCTCGAATTTACAGCCACTGAGTTCAAACGGAGTTTCATTTACATGAATTAAGGTGCTTCACTTGAACTGGGACTCTGGGGAAATGGTAAGAACAGACACACATGATGCCTCACATAAAATACTGTATAAAGAGCTTAGTTATTGTTTATATTCTGCAAGAAAGAAAAAATGAAGCTGGTAACTGCATCAAGTTGCTTCACAAGCCAGATGCCAATAGCCCATATCAGAAAAGTTCTGGTTGCAAAATAAACAAATAAGATTATGTGTCTACATAGAAACTGACTTTCAAAAATTTAAAATGTAAAAATTTAAAATTTAAAAATAAATAAATAAATATTCAGAAATATTCACTGGAATAAAAAGTGTGACAACTATCCCTCCCCTACATCTAAATCTTTCTCTGTAAAGAAATAAATGAATAATTCCAAGGCCTACAGCTGCAAGCACAGTTAAGATTTAAAGACAGAAAACTATCCTCATCAGATTACCTCCTCATTAACTCTCATCTCACCCTTACTGGATGATGAAAGATAAAAGGGAACAGAAGTTATGAGAGTGAAAGGAATTTCTGCCTTTAGGTTGCAAAACCTTCTGCTTTCATGGTTGACCATCAGTAATTACTCTAGCCGCAAACCAGCATCATGATTAACATCAGAGCAGAGGAAATATTGGAAAGCTGCACAGAATTAAAAAAAAAAAAAAACAGTGTTTTTGTGGACTCTTAAGTTAATACTACCAAATACTACTTTTTCTGTTGAACACAAAAGAAGAAGGTTGGTAAACAAATAGTTGTAGCCATTGAGTTCTATAAGATGGGGGAAAAAATGACTATGGAAGTCAATGGCTACCATCAACTGTTAGGTTACCAATATTCTTCAAAATATCTTCTTTTGTGTTCAACAGAAGACCAGGTTGAGTAAATGATGACAGCATTTTCATTTTTGGGTGATATACTCCTTCAAGCTTTAAAAATGATAAAAACCACCATCGACATGCTAGTCTTCAGAAACCATATGATAGTGTACCGTAAGTAGAAGACAAAAGTTTGGCCTAATATGGTACTACTTACTTGAAGTACCCTCTGACAATTTAAGATAATATTTCAATAATTTAACAACATTTGCATGTTCACAATTCTCTGATGTTAGTTAATAGTAACATGACATGCAGGTAAACGGACAGAATTTCATTTTTATTATGATAAACGCTTCGTGAATCCAAGTTTAGGCAACCCTAGTATAGGCTATTTCTATAGAGAATAGACAGAAAAATGAAGGCAAAGAAATCACACTACCCACTGTCCATAAACATGATTGAATGACCCGCACAAAGCCCAGGCCTGAACCACACTAAACACCTATGGGATGAATTGGAACAGCAACTGTGAGCCAGACCCCATTTGCCCAACATCCGTCCCTGACCTTACTGATGCTCTTGAGTCTAAATGGGAACAAATCCCAGGAGTCATGTTCCATCATCCAGTGGAAAACCTTTCCAGAAGAGTGGAAGATGAAGGAAGCCCAACTCCTCAAGCCCATGGTTTTGAAACCAACAAGCACATATGGGGATGCTGTTTGAGCGTCCACATAGTTGTAACCATAGATTTATGACAAAAACACTTTATAGCTGCCGAGATCCACTGAGCACATTCCTAAATATATATTTTTTTTTTTTTTTTTTATTAATCTGGTGCCAGATCAGTGTGTCCTCAGCACATGATTCAGTTACACAGATAGCTTAGAGATGTCTAAATATGGGGCTGCAAAACCACAGCGGCTCATCTTATGCTTGATTTGCTTCATCATCATCAGCTGAGAGACACAACACCATTAGCATCTCGCCTAAATGAACTGTCACACATATGATGGCAACAAAGACAGAAGACGCTCTGAAGCTTCCTTCACAAAGAGTTAGACTCGGATTAGTACACTGCAAACTAGTCTACTTTCAGTGAAAATAGATATCTAAGATTTCAAAAGACCATCTACTCTACAATGATCGTAAACAAATAAATAAATAAAAATAAATAAGTAAATGCTAAAAAGTAAAAAAAAGGAAATGATAATAATGCAAAATGATCAATGTAACTACATGAACCTTATTGCTGTACTTTTTAAATGCCATGTTTGCTAAATGAATGCATCCTTTGCTATACCATTATAGGCTAATGCATATAATAACATAAGTAGATAAAAATAAATGCATATAGAAAAAAAATAAATGCCTAAATAAATACAGATAGATACATGCATAAATAAATGCATATTGATAAATAAATGCATAAATAAAAATAAACTCATTCATTAATTCTCACTCTTATATTGCATGGATGGCTAATAATAATAATAATAATAATATACTTACAACTGATTAAGTGCTGTCTCAGCTTTCTAATCAAAGATGATTTGGAAAACGTCCATGGCTGGGTGACCTGTGCAGGGGCCTCAGGTCCAGATGCTTCATCCCTTGTGTCTTCCATGTTCAGCTTGCGTTTTTGCAGAGAACCTGGCTAGAAAGAAACAAACTGGCCTTCAGTCAAATCAGGGGTTATGGCCAAGTGAACTTAACCTCCGTTGTATAGAAACCTCTCTACAAATTGTTCCACGGCGAGAACATATCATTCGAAATTCAGAGCGCCAGTGGTACGTCATGCGGGTCAGATTTTATTGTTTGGCAACAAGTGCACCATGGGTAGCGCAGTTTACATAAAACTAAGCACTGTTGGAAAGTTTACAGTGATCTTCATATATCAGCAGGATTATAGTCTTGCTATTTTAGGGGGCATTTGTCGTGTCGGGATAACCCATGGGTCTCTCCTGTGACCCTCTTAGTGGCCAGCTGCATATCTGTGGTGCATAAATTTTAAAATGATGAGGGACATTACCATCTCCCCATCAGGGTCATCCATCAAGTGGAAACCACATGAAATGTAATACCTACGATGATGAGCCATCTTTTAAAAGACACTTTACCAAAATTGAGATTTAGCAGTTCTGAATGCTTTCATATTTAGCAGCCAGATAAATAGAAAGACAGATGTAACTCTATAGATTGACAAAAACGTAATATTATTGCCCAGATATTCATATAAAGTTGATATAAAAGTATAACCTGCACACATGAAGTTATACATTATTATAAACATTAACATAATAATTTTCTGTAAAGCTCTTTTGAAGTGGGAAAAGCGCAACATAAATAAATCTGACTTGATGTACAAATATTATTTAATCTATATAATCCTCTCTTTTGGCACCTGGCTATCCGTCTGGTTTATATGGCACTTATTCAACATTTAAAATTAGATATGTCTCACATTGCGTGCCTTTTAAGTCCTAAACCTTTTTTTACCCCAGCAAAAGCTGCTGTAAGCACTGCAGTAAGTCTGTGGCTTTATTATAGTACTACAATTTCATGATCTGACTCCTAATGACCACAGCATATGCGGTAAAACTCTGCCTGTCTTGCATGTATTAACGCAGTAAAGATCAGCACATTTCTCTACACTTAAAGAGCCTTTGGTCCCGGATTAGGTTTAGACAACTAATGGAGTATACTGTACTCCCTTGGTGATTTTGCAGATGGAACATAGTTAATTATGGCCACCAATGAAATTCAACCATCTCTTTAGCTAAGCCAAGGACAAGGCAGTGCTCTCGATGCACTGGCCCAGAAAATGCATTCAGACTCAAATCGAAGTGAACTTGATCACGTTACGCATGGTTCAGCAGCACAGGGACAGGCTTGGAAATGAACACTTAACACTTTAACACTTCGACTAACTGTGGAATAAAAATAAAAATCAGATAGCAACTAAAGACTCACACGTGATAATAAATCAATATTTCTAAAGGGAAATAAATGTATATTATAAATATAAAATAGATGGCCTACACACAATTTTAACCACCTAAAATATTGATGTTAATGAATTAACCTAATATTGCACAAAAAAAATAAAGAAACTGAAATATATTACCAGTGAGAAATGAAAATATGTATAATAATATGCAATTTTCTTGACATGGTCTATCTTGCTCAGTGGTTTTCAAACTCCCCTCAGACCACAAGAGGCACAATCTAAGAATTTTACAATGACGACAGATTTTCATAAATGAAAATATGACTTTACTGTTTAGGAAGCACAAAAGATCCCCTCACACGGATCATTTTATTTCAAAAAGCTTGAAAACGGTTGAAAACAGTTCTAGGTGTGTTGTGCTTTATCATAGCTATGAATATAACAATCCCACACTAGATGGAGCTAAAAGCATTGCATTTAAAAACATCCTCAATTTACAATTGTTACACTCACACAGAAAAAATAAAAATACATGGAAAAGGATATAACTATAGATGTCACTAACCCATTGCCTTATGAACAAACAACAGTGTGCTAATTCAATAACAATAAAATAGGGCATTTTTAAATTATGTTTAAAAAATAAGGTCTATTTTTCAAATGCAATTAAATATTTGCCAAAATACTGCTAATCTAGGTGAACATTCGTCATTGTAGCAGTTTTAAAAAGCGTAATGTGCACAAAAAGTCATAATTCTTCCCTGCTAATTGTTGTGATGCGCTGCCTTCCGACATTGGCTGCTTTGTACAGAAAAACAGCGCAGACTTTCAGGTTGGAACGTTCCTATTGGCCAAATTTTATATTTGCACACATTCTCAGTGCGTGATTGGTCAACGGCACGTCAATCAACCCATTCCCCTGCTTTTGGATATTACCCTAAGAGACTCCACAGTTTTTCATCAGTGAGGACTGGAATATGAACAAAGTAACAGAGCCAACCAGACAAGAGGTGAACAAAACTATGATTCCTTCCCTAATTCCAAAACTGCACAACGTCAGGATTTGTCACTAGCGCCCAGAACACTGTAAGTATGCCTTTCTAAAAAATAGTCTTGTATTAGAGCAAGAAGCTTCAGATGAATAAAACTCTAACCAACATCTGCAATGTTCTTCCTGTTTTTGGCAGAGCTGGAAAAGCCAATACACTCAGTCAGGATTAGATGTAAGCTGGATAGGGATTGGTGACTACCTCTCGCTTCTTCCAGAAGGAGTAATGCGTGTAAATCGGAAGATAATGATCTCTTCCAGGGAGAGCAGCGTCTTTACGTGTCTCTAATAGCCAGGAGTTTGTCAGGCTTTCTTCTGCATGTCAATACACGGAGTGTACTCTGCGCTAACAGCATTAGCTCCTCTCATTCATAGTATCGTTACTGAGCGGTCGCCATAAACCTAAACGCAGCCAAATCTGTCATTTTTTAGATGTTACTGTGGTTACTTTTTATCGTACTATTACATTTTACCTCAGTGTACGTTATCAATTTAATCAGGTGTTTTTTTACTTTGTTTAACGCACTAGCGAGCTGGCTAACTGTAGCTTTAGTTGGTGCGCATTTCTGAAGTCTCGTGGCGTAGAAAATAGTCGCCGTATACTACGAAATTGCCTTATCTATTTTAATTATATAATAGCTACACTTGTTCACGTAAACCCACTTTTCATTGTGTAATGAGGCTAGGGGTTAACTGAGGGAACGACGGACAGAAAATTGTGTATTTTTTTAACCCGAGCCACAGAACACCTGCTCCTACATTTATCATTTTTACAATTAAAATGTGTTTATATTATATAAAAGTCAGGAAATTGCGTCTGAATGTATCATCTATGGCCTCAGTATTTGAAGTTCATTCTAGTTATTTCTGCATTGATCACTGTTCAAGTAAACATGCGCCTGTAACCGCATATTGGCTGCTGTTTACTTTTGTAAAGATTTCATGACACTAACATTACAATTATATTCGCTTTAATTACTCACCTGGTACATGCAAATGTTAGACTACAAATGGCTCTCCGTTTTGGTCCCATAAAATGTTGGATGTCTCTCTAATCTAACACCTGATTCAACTCATCAGGTCATTTTTAGTGGCTCCATGTCCTGAAATGGGTGTCAAATAAGGGAGATGTTCAAACGTGTAGTTCTGGGGGTCCTTGCAGGGTTGAGAAACACCGCTTTCACATTTTTATGTAGTTATAAGAAATAAGGAACTAAATGTAAGACTGTTCAGCATGCTTTCGCTAAAGTTTTTCCATTTGAGCCAAAATTACCAGTATGGCCATTGGCCACACTATTATAACTTTCTATAACAATGGCAGTGGGTACTGTCTGTAGCAACTATTGAGTGTCCATGACAATATTTTAAGTGAATATAACACAGATATAGAAATAATATAACCCTGAAAAAGAAAAAAAGTGGAAAAATTTTACCTTTAGGAGTACTTGTCACTGGGGCAGTACTCTCAAAAAGACATTTGTACCTTATTTACCCCTTAAAGGTTCACAGTAGTATCTAAAAGGTACCTATTAGTACCTTAGAGTAGTATTGACAAATTGTTGTACCTCTAAAGGTACAGTTTTTGCCCATTTTTTAAAGCCAGAAGACATCCGCTATTCATAACTTTCAGTCACGTGACCAGCTCGAAGACCTGGAGGGCAAAACATCCATAGAACTGCAGGACAAGCCTGTCAATTTTCCATCAGTTTCACAGCCGCAAATATTTAGGTCACCTCTCCTAAAGGAATAAAACACAGGTATGTGAACAAAATGCAAGGTTTGGCCATTTGCAATCCATATTAAGCACCTGCGGCAATATTTAAATCATTAAACAGTGCGACAAAACGTTGTAAAAACACTTAAAGTGCTTAATATATTTAAAACAGTAATATTCTCTATATTAATGATGCATAGTTTACATAGGCAAGCAGATGAGGCCAGAATATGAATGCAATCCGCTTAATGGTTCAGTGTTTTCCTTCTAATGGTTTTCAATGGGAAACCATTTAACGTGAAACTTTGCACATTGCGTAAATATTCTGGCTTCATCTGCTTGCCTGTACAAAATATACATCAATAAGGTGTTTACTGAATTTCGCCTTTTAATATCTGCATTTTACTACATTACTACTTAATGCAAACTGCGTAAAAATAACTGAAAATCGAGCTTGCGCAGCTAGAAATGTCTGCATCCACAATTCCACATACTTGTGTAAAATATGTTTTAGCCTGAGTGCTAATAGAAGTACTTAGTCCTGATGACAGACTTCTTGCTGGCCGGTGATTCATTGAGCTTTTTCAAATCAGCGAGGTTGCCAGCTTTTGACTTTCTGCAAACACAAAAAGCACCTCCCTCCCTTTGCTGTAGCCTAACTGAAATACAGCTCTGGAATACCAACATCCTCAGTGAAAAGAACCTGGAAAGGCTATTTAGTCAGGAGTCTAGATGTTTACACAGGAAGAACATTGAAAGGAATAAAGACCTTTGTTCTTCAGCCTCTCAGTGGCGTGGCAAGTAAAAGGTGTCATTCATGTTGGTGAGAATATCCGCATGGATAGGTAGTTAGTTTGTTCGTATTGAATGATTCAGCAACTTTGGCATGGCTCATGCTGTTGTTGAGTGATGGTTACCATGGGTGATGGGATGAACCATGCAGGA